ATAGCTATTTAAAGTTTAAGCCAATCCGATTGCAGCGCACGTGCATGCACGTGTTTTCATGATAATTGCTATATATCATGTTGTAGGATATCCTAATGCACGGCTATTTTCAAAATTTCAAAGGATTTCGTCAAAAAACAAGAAAGATATTGAGACTTTAGTTTCAGCCAATCAGAGCAAAGCGCACGTGCATGCGCGTGAGATTTTGCTATTTTGACCATGTCATATTGTCTTTGCTACTAATATATCCTTATATTATAAGTTTCAAAGCATTTCATCAAAAATTTAAAAAGTTACGCCTATATCAATTAAATCGGTCATTACACATGTTGCACGTGCACGCTCTTGCAAGCACGTGCGTGCAAAATGACCTTCGTTCCGCAAATCTACATAACATGTCTACTGACCCTAAAAACATTTCAACTTAGTCGGATGTATAGTTTACGAGATCATTCCCGGACAAAAAAGTACCCAGGAAGAAGAAGAAGAAAAATAATAATAATAATAACTAGGACTAATTGTAACGGGAACCGTTACAGATGTTCCCCAAACGCTCCCCAACTCCCTTTTGGTGCCATACTCCCTTTAAGCTTCATTAAAAACGACAAACTCTATGCATTTGAGACTTTAACAACGTTTCCCTGAAGTATACCGAGTATATTCAAATTTTAGCATTTGCACGCGTGCACATGTAAATGCATGTGCGTAATGACCATATTCTCTTGTCTACACTATCTATATACATTAATATAATAAAATAATAAAGCATTTAATCCAAAAGTATTAAAAAATACGCTTCATCAAGTGTATTTTTGATTTTATCCATCTCACGTGCATGCACGTGCATGCATGTGCATGATGACCTTACCTTTTTGTAGGAATCCACTATGTCTGTCTATGTTCTAAATCCCATCCTGTTTGGTTGAAAATCAAAGGAGTTATACCCATTTAAAGTTTAAGCCAATCAGATTGCAGCGCACGTGCATGCGCGTGTTTTCATGATACCTGCTATATATTATATTGTAGTATATCCTTATGCATGACTATGTTTAAAATTTCAAAGCATTTCGTCAAAAAACAAAAGAGATATTGAAATCTTTGTTTCAGCCAATCAGCGGGAAGCGCACGTGCATGCACGTGAGTTCGTGCTAATTTGACCATGTCATATTATCTAGACTATTAATATATCCTTATAGAATGAGTTTCAAAGCATTTCAATAAAAAATGTAAAAGTTATGGCTATAATAAGTATATCAGTCATTTCACTCATTTCACGCGCACGCACGTGCATGCGTATGCGCGCAAAATGACCTTCGTTGTGCACACCTACACTTGACACCTATTAACCCTAAAAAGGTTTTAACTTAGTTTGGTGAACAGTTTCTGAGAACACTCGCGGACAAAAAAAGTACCGGAGAACAAAGAAGAAAAAAAAGAATAATAATAATAAGAAGAAGAAACCGAGTAAAAACAATATGTTCCCAAACTCCGTTTGGGGAACATAATAAGAAACAGAGTAAAAACAATATGTTCCCCAACTTCGTTTGGGGAACATAATAAGAAACAGAGTAAAAACAATATGTTCCCCAACTTTGTTTGGGGAACATAATAATAAGAAACAGAGTAAAAACAATATGTTCCCAAACTTCGTTTGGGGAACATAATAAGGAAATATAACATTTTGGAAAAGTAGAAAAATTCCAAGGTCAAATCACGTGGTTGAGAAACAATGCATTTACACTATGAAAGACCTATATGTGTTCTCTTTCAAATTTATGACCAAAGTTTAAGTTTCTTAAAAGTGTACCAACCTTCAATGCTAAAGTTATTGGGTTTAAAATTATGATATACATGTATTTATACATGTGGCAGGTAATATATACAGATGTGTAGTATGGAATCATGAAAATATTACAGAGTGTTTTCCTTTAAGGTGATTTTAGCAAGAGTTATTCGGTAAAACCGTATGCATATAGTGCATGCACGTAGCAACAGGGGGGGGGGGGGGGGGGCAGGGGGACTGCCCCCCCCTTTTTACTGTTACTATTGGAAATATACATTATAAGGCTGTGCCCCCCCCCCCACTTTATACTTAAGTAAAGAAATATAAAGGAAATGTAGTAATGTAAGCTAAATAAAATTTGGGCTGAAAAATGTCCCCCCCCCCACCACGGAATAGGATTTTCGAGTTTGGGGAAAACAATTGTTTTTTTCTGCTTGTCAACTTTTTTAAGTTAAGTAAAAAAAAATTGTGCCCCCCCCCCTCCCACTTTCAAAATTGATGCTACGTGCCTGTATAAGTCATCATTCCCAGATCCCTTCATTATTTAACCAAGTTCAATTTGTTATACCTTCTGATGATGTAAAGAAAACACTATTTTTTCTTATGAAAGTACATTTGTTAAAGCCTCTATTAATTCACAATTTAAAGATTGTAAGTATAAACCCTATATTTCTTGCATGCATTTTAATAATTTGTTGCTCAAAGAGGAAAATTCACTACTTGTCCTACAAAATGGCAGTTAGTGGGAAAAACTCCCAGGCGAAATGCGTTATAAGAAAAGGGTCTATTTTTTTTTTGGAGGAGTGGACACGCAGGTTTCGCCCGAAAGCCCCATAGGCGCTTGGTTACGGGATGGTGTATTTTGTGTAGTATGTGTTTTTCTATGTGTGCCTGAATACCCTCATTAAAATAAAAATAAAAAATAGCCGAAATTATCACGTTTTAAAAAATGTCATATTTATTGTATATAAAAAGAGTAGCGCTTGGTTACAGGATGGTGTATTTTGTGTAATATGTGTTTTTCTATGTGTGCCAGAATACAATACTATCATGTATGGCTATGTTATACCTTTCATGCAATATACTTCTAGCACATTTATTAAAAACAATAGATCGGCTGTAAATCATTCTGAATTTGTAGGTTCAGCAATTTTAGAACTTGTTTCTAATGGATGTGCCCGAGAGGTTCATGAGCCTTCTCATGTGGTTAATCCTCTCACTGTCTCGGTCAATGCGTCAGGTAAAAAATGCCTTGTGTTAGATTTAAGGGCATGTAAATCAGTACATAGAAAAGCAAAAGGCCAAGTTTGAGGGTGTCAAAGAAGCGCTTTTGTATGCCAAAGAAGGTCAATTTATGATCAAATTTGATCTGAAATCTGGTTACCATCATATAGATATACAGTATACTTGGCCATAAGTGAGTCATAATTTTATTTTTACACTATATATTTCATTGAAAAACCTATTTTTATAAAAAATTGTTGTGAAGTCAATTTTAGCTCAATTTTCATGATTTTTTTCACCGAAACATGCAGAATTATTCAAATTTTCTTATCTTAAATGAAAAACAAAATGATACTTAGACTATTGAGAATAAATTATAAAATATTGTCGAGACAAAATTTTCTAACCTCAAATTACTATGATTTCTTAACAAATTGAAGTCTTAAAATTTTTGTTTTGCACTTAGTTTAAACTTTATTTCATTCAAATAAGACATCATATATACACAGTAGATAATACAAACAGGATTCGGAAACAAGTTGTAACAACTTATATTAATCCGTTTCCTTAAATTAACTTTCAACTATAAATAAACATTTGCCCTTGTTGAATGACATGTATAATAGGAAAAAGAACCGAGAAAAAATAAAGATGAAAACAAAAATGAGAAGAAAAAAAAACTGCAGAGAGAGATATCATAACATGAATTAACTAATAGTAAATGAGGAATAAAAACAGCCATACAATGCAGTACAAGATCAAACAATAATAACATTACGGCCACAAGTAATATTCAAGTTATAAATCTTTTAGAGGCAGAAATAAATTGATGCACATGTTTAAAAATGTTGGTATCTCCAAATAAGAGAATGTGTAAAGAGACTGGTCCTAATGGGTCAATGTTTTGCACTTGACCTGTGATTTCACGGTAATGCATAAAGATAAAACTATTTTGAAATGATGTGAAGAAACTACAACATATTCTGCATTTTTTGGTGTTTTAGACATTAAAAAGAAACAACAAACAACAGTGCAATAATATTTTAGAAAAATGTGTTTTCAATGAAATATATAGTGTAAAAATTAAAATTATGACTCACTTATGGCCAAGTACTGTTCACCCCGATTTTTCAGAAGTTTCTGGGTTTTTGTCGGGTATTTCGAAGGTAAAAAGAAATATTTTGAATCTACAGTACTTCCGTTTGGAATTTTCTGTGGGTGATTTGAAATTGTCATGTGGTTTGAGATTTAGATTTATATATTAAAAATAAAGAGCTAGCGAGCAGCATTCTGTTTACGACACATGTGTTTGTTAGCACTTAATTAATTCATAGGCGTCGGAACCGGGGGGGGGGGGGGGGGGGGGGGGCTGGGGGGCTTAGCCCCCCCCCCCCACTTTTTTCCAAATATATACTTAGTATAGACATTGAACAAGTTTAGCCCCCCACTTTCAACAGAGATGTCTTAGTGTGTAGGTTAAAAATGGGGAAAGTGGGAAAGTGGTGGTGGTTGGAAGAAAATTTTTGGTACTGGAGTTCGAACCCACCCCCCCCCCCCCCCCCCCCCCCCCACGAAATAGGATTTTCGTGTTTGGGAAATAGACATTTCCTTTTTTTTTTTTTTTGCTTGTCTGGTTTTTCTGGAGGTACAAAAATTTTTTTTTTTTTTAAACTTAGCCCCCCCACTTTCAATTTGCTTCCGACGCCAATGTAATTTATATTCGGACGAACGAAGTGAGGGAGAATATAAAGGAGATTAGATAGTTTTCTTTCTTTTCTTTTCTTTTGCCTGTCGGTTTTATATTAATTAATTCATAAATTAACATAAATTTACTTTTGAATAATTTTTTTAGCCTCTCCCCTTTGCCTTGATAATGTTTAATTGAAATTGATAATATTTGGGCATGTTTTCATATCGGGTTCGACCTTTCAAAAAGTGTGAACTGTCATTCCGAGTTTTCTCGGGTTTTGTTTGGAAACACTTGCTAGTCAAGCATGAGTGACTTGTGGTCTAAATATTGTAAACAGTTATCGTAGTCAGTCTTGATGTTGTGCGATAAAGACTCCATTGATTCTATTCAGCAGTATATCAGCAAGCTGACGGAATTTCTCTCTCTGTATACTTGGATTGTTGACGCCTATGTATCGGTAAACACCGCTTTAACTTTTTATGCTTACAATTTTTTGATAATTCAAATTAGTTAGACAAAATACACATGCATGGTTTAAGTTTAGATAATGGTTTTCCACATTCTCTATCTCTGTAACTCATTGCCTGTGTTTTAATAACACATGCCATATGCAAATACACGGTGAGAGCACATACTTGTATGTACATCACTGTAAATGTGTACAGAAAAAAGTACTTACAAGTAACAATACAAATAATTTGATTCAGCTGATTACTAACTTGATTCTGATGTGTAATCTCTATTATTTAACACATGCAAATGAAATCAGTATGTTTTGTATATAATAATTCTTCTTAAAGCTGAACACAATTCGTAAAAAGAATTTGTCCAAGCTCATGCTATCTCTGCAAACCTCTATATAAGGGTAAATTACTCAGTCACTGTTCAGTGTAAGGAATTGTGAGTGGTATATACAGACGTATCCTATACACATACTCAGTAGCGACAAAAATAACTGTGTACTTCTTCCAATGCAGCAAAGTAAGATTCCAAAGACACTTACAACAGTTGCATAGGTCAGTGCAGTATAAAAAAAAACCATGTATATGCATAACTTCAATAAAATGTAAACAAAGGTAATTTAAGATGGCCAGCATGAACATTGGTCAACATTCCACGCCCCAATACCTGTGACAATAAAGCAGTCAGGTGTAACGAGTGGGAATATATACCTGGTGTTGATGTATCGTAGATGATGATATTGAAAATGGTGTATGCCTATTCACAAGTTGTTTCCAGCTTTAAGATTTTCAGTGTTTGTATATATTTTAGGATTATTTCACTCAGCATCACTGGGATAGCCCCCCTTCAGCGTGGACAGAGTCCCTGCTAAACACAGAACCGACAGAACTGGTGTGGCTGCTGACGGAGGAAAGGTGATTTGTGAATTGAACATATTTTATTGCTTATACTTTACAATTGGGATTGGGCAAAAGTTCTAAAAACTTATTACGCCCTATCCCTACATATACATTATACCAAACATATTTACATACATGGGTTTCAGCTTAAAATGAAATAATAATAATTATATAATAATAATATATAATAATCAGAATAAAACACATTCAATAGAATACATTTCATATGTAATAGACATGATGTATAAGATTTACAATTAGAAATAATTATTGTATCAACCAAATCGTCCTGACTTTTTAATAAAAGTTTGTACAATAGAAAATAGGCATTCATTTTCAGAATCATTTAACAATTTGTCTCCCCAGAGTAAAGTGTGAGTATCGACAGTGTGTAATTTACCCATTCGCAAAAATTTGTCAAAAAATTCTTTCCTGGCTTCTGTACATTTTTTTGCATGAGAAGAAATAATGATGAGTATCCTCCACTCTTCCACAAGAACATAGTGGACTCAAAATTACATTACATCGAAAGAGATACTACACCTAAGTAAGAGGGTGGCATTTGTTTATTGTAAGAAATAGACTTTTTAAAAATAGATAACGAGGGAGAATTTCTTACATTAAGAGGTAATGAGTTCCATTCTTCAATAACAAGGGGAACGAAAGTTGATTTGTAAGCTTGCAATCTGCATTTAGGTATGTTATAGTTCTGTGAGTTTCTCGTACTGTAACTTGATGAATTGCATCGTAAGTTTGGGATTATATCAGTTAGATATTCAGGAACTTGGTTTTTGACAATTTTATACATTGTAGCTAGTCTAGTCTTTTTCCTTCTTTCATGTAATGGTTCCCATCCAGTTTCAATGTAAAGTGCATCTTTAGAAGCTAACAGAGTTAATCCTGTGACAATTCTAGCAGCACATAATTGTAATTTTTCTAATTTTTCACTGTCACCTATATTACATCCACCCCATACCAAGGAAGCGTATTCTAACTGTGGCCTAATAAAGGTTGTGTACATGAGTGAAAGAGTTTTTCAGTTGACTACAAATTTAAGTTTTTTTAACAAGCCCAATTTTTTATATGCATTAGCTAGAATAGTATCAATATGTGTAGACCAACTAAGATCTTGCGAGAAAAAAATTCCTAAATGTTTATGAGAAGAAACAAATTCTAGCTGACTTTGCTGGAAGAAGAGTTTAGGATAACTAACACTTTTTTTCAGGCTAAAAAATATTGCTTTAGTTTCAGTAGGATTGAATTTAAGAAGCCATTTTTTCGACCAAATTTCTAGCTTGTTAAGATCAGAATTCAGTTTGTTTTCAATAGTATTAACACTTTTAGATGACTGTTGTAGGGAGTTATCGTCTGCAAATAATCTACAAAAACTTGTCATTTCTTCAGCAACATCATTGACATATATAAGAAATAATAGAGGTCCTAACACTGAGCCTTGAGGGACACCGGCGTGTATAGGTTTTTCGTCAGATAGCAAGTTTCTGTATAATACTCTTTGTGATCTACCTTCTATATAACTCTTTAGCCAATGAAACATATTTCCCTCTATACCATAAGTTCTGAGTTTGAACAAGAGACCCTTGTGCCACACACGATCGAATGCTTTAGAAAGATCACAGAATATCATACAACAATTTTCACCATCGTCGATAGCTTTAACAATAGTATCATATGTTTCTATTAGTTGATATACAGTGGAATGACCTGGTAAAAATCCAGCCTGGTATTTATAAAAAAGATTGTTGTCACGAAAGTGATTATACAAGTGTTTGAATATGATTCGTTCCATTATTTTACCAATACAACTTAACAGTGACACAGGTCTATAATTAGACATAACAGATGGATCATCTTTTTTAAATAAAGGGAGAACATTAGCAACTTTCCATTTACAAGGAAAATACAATCAACTAATGACCTATTAAACAATAAACATAATGGTTTTACAATAGTATACATGGTGGATTTCAACATCTTGTGACTAATATTGTCTGGACCTATTGCTTTATTAACAGGAAGAATTGAAATAATATCTATAATCTCTTGTTCATCAATACAGACTGTATCAAATGGGTTATTGCACACAGAAAAGAAATTAGGTAAAGAGACGTTGTTTTCGTCAATACAAGTGATAGAAGCAAAATAATCATTTAAAACATCTATTTTCTCTTCATTTGTAAAAGCTACACATGCATCACCATTAACAGAGGTATACTGTAGAGGAGGAATATCGGTAGTAGATTTTACTTTAAATATATCTCTCAATAACTTCCAGTAAAGTTTAGAATTATTTTTACTTGCGTCTGTAATATGATGCTCTATGTTATTATGATAGTTTTCAATGGCGATTTTTTTCATATTGTTAAACTTGTCCCTGCATTTCCTATATTTTTCCCAGTCAGAATTTCTTTTTGTCATCTGGGCCCTACTAAATAATCTATTCTTATTTCAATGTGTTTTACACAGAGCCGAATCGAACCAAGGTTTATCTTTCAGACGAATTACAACCGATTTTTCAGGAAAGGTCAGTGTCTTGTACATGTGTAACAGGCAGGGAAAATTGTCGGCCAGACTGAGACTTGACCCCGGGACTTCCCTGCTACACTCTTCCCCCTTTTTCTTGAGGTTTTTCATTCTGAAAACACCATAGAGACTCTTTTAAATCACCCATGGGTTATATTTTTGGACCAAACACTACAGGCAGAGAAAAATGCATGTTGGCAAGACTGGGACTTGATCCTGGGACCTCACACTAACCATACTGAGCTACAGGGCAGACATACCCCCTCCCTGTTACACATGTATCAGTGCATGTCTTACAAATAATGACAGAGTCCCTGGCCTTAGTATTGGTAACAATAAATGTAAATAAAACATGAAAATATTCATTGATTCTTATTTCAGTCGTGCATCAAAGGTGTGGCCTCTCTCACTTCTCGCCTTCAGACAGTGCACAAGTACTTACTCACTACCAAGGTCACAACAAGAGGTCAAACTACAGGGCCTGTCAAAACTTTCCTCACAAAGATGTGTACAGGGTGAGACAAAAATATTTTTTTTAAATAAAAAAAAATTATAAAAAAAAGATCTTTTTCAAAGTGACAATTTTTCTTATCTCTGAGAGAATATTGCTGTAAAAATAAGTCTGTGATGTTTTATCTTTCTTCAGATCAGAAAACCAGCTCAGTTGCTCAACAAGTTACCAATCCCGACACAAAATACTATGAGTATCTCAGGAAGCATATGCATGTAAAACCAAAGAAACTTCACGAAATCAAAAGTCTTGGAAAGGTAAAATATTGTGTTATAATTAGACTTTCATGCTTCAACAATAATGCAGATTTTAATCTACAGTACCAGACCTGTTTACCCTTTTTGTTGTATCTCAGTATTTTTGATTAGATTTGTCCGTGAGATTTCACTGTTGCCAGTAAGATTTGGCTTTCCATTGATTTTATGTATAATTCATAGATAGAGAGCAACTGTTTTTTTTTTCTATTACATGATTCAATAACATGTTCTTTGCCATTTTATACCATAGCACTTTTGGCAACTCGAAATCACTGATGTGATGAAATTTTTTTCTTGCAAAGTAATTAATAGGTATGAAACTGAGACCGATCATAACGATGATGGATTGATTGTATAATGTCTCTTTCAAGATTTGTTTTACTAATTAAGACACCAACACCTGCCAGTCATAAGTAAAGAGCTGCAATTTTTGTCCCATACTCGACACTCAAGGCAAACAAACAGGGAAGGGTCTGTTTCGTTCCAGCACCTACTGCGACACATGACCTCAGTTCATACGGTCCGATCTGAAGGACCTGTCTTCAGGTCGCGCAAGTGGGATTTAAACCCTCGGAGTAAGGAGCTAGCCCTTACTGCGCAAGTGTTAGAGCAGAAGCTCTAACCACTTCGCCACGCAGGCAACCAGATCATAACAATTGATTGTCAATGTTTGTTGTTGTTTAAAGTTGCGGAGTTCAGCTTATCAGCAGGTCATGATGAAAACTAACTGCTAAAATCCAAACGAAAGTATTTCCGTATTTTCATAATAGCAAAACCTGAGACGTATATTGGATTAAAAATCCGTAAAAAATATGACGAAAGAGTTAACAGCTGTGCAGAACATACATGTACATGTATTGCCTATAATTTGGTCCGACTATAAGTAAGTTGTTATTTTTAAAGCATAGATTATAGGATAAAACAGAGACTGTACTGACTATCATCAAGTAAGTTCATGGACAGAGAAATTAACTCCCTTTGTAAATGCACATCTTTATTTCCAGTGACAGCAACATGTATGATGACGTAACATGATGTGATGTGACGTGACGTGACGTGATGTGATTTACTGTAAATACATAGAAAACATGTATAAGTACTTGATATTACACATAAACCACATACTCAGCGATTGACAAATTAACATCACTCTCGATTATAAATAAATACTCTATGTTCTTTGTAAACAACACTTTTACAATAAATATTGCACATGTACCCTAGTAAATTAGCACATATGAAATTCATATTACTGTCAAATCACACAATTTCAAAAGAATCACTAGAAAATGCTCAACAAGATATATGATTATTACCGAGTGCACATGCACCAAATAATTTCATGCCAAAATCACAGCAAATCTTTAACTTTCAATATCATATTACAGATATCAATCTATTATGGCCTAAATTTCCTACACATAGTCATAATCAAAAATCTTCCATGTGAACTTTCTAACATGTCCGTAAAAATTACACCTAACAGGTAAACAGTGAACACCTTTGTAAACATGATTTACAACAATAATGCACGTCAAAATTTCTTCTGCAACAATATACAAATAGATTTCATGTTTAACTTACCAACTTAGAAGTTTTCTCTCGTAGAAAAGTTGAAATAAATATGATAAATCAGCACAGTGACTAGTAAACACTGGTAAACAATTTCTACAGTTGTAAAAATCTCGTGCTCGCGGGAAAAATTATAATATTGGAACCAAATCCGGAAAAATCTAACAGTCAAACCAAATCCGGAAAAAATGTTTCGTACAAAGTTGAATTTGCTGTAACAGAGACATCACAAGCACCCTCAGGTGACAAAGCCAGTCAGAGGCCTCACAACTTTTTAACGGTCCATACTTGTAAATATTATATAAGAAGTTCATTGGCTGAAAGGACGTCACGTGACATTCCTTCTTTTGTGATATCGATGCCAAATCATGACCGGAGAAAATGGTATAGCATGACACACCGTTCAGTTGCACTAAAGTTATGTAGAACATGACGTCATAATACATGTATAAGAAGCGTGAATTTAACCATTGTGACGTAATGACAGCCAAGTCTGTTTAGTTAGGAATGTGTCACTGCATTCACTTTGAGTGATTATATAATATAACGATTATCGACTTCAATGAATGGTCAATATATGGTTATATTTACATTCAGTGTAATTTTCCTTATGAAGTCCATTAGGAATCCATGATGTTCAAATTTCTATAACACAAGCGAAACCTTGTCACCGCACGTTAGAATTCACAGTGAGGACTATAAGCATTTTCAATACTCTAGGGACACCAAAATGTAATATGTTTCATTTCAATTTAATGAAAAACTATAACCCTGAAAAATTAACTTAAAAATTAACGTTATGTGCGTGAAGATTTAATTTGTACCGGTAACTTTCTTCCTCGCAATGTTTGTTTGCGTTATTTAACTTTGCAACATCATTTAACGTTATTTGACGTCACAAAGGGCTCTTACATCTATTTACCACGGCAGTTTTGAAGGGAGCTAAAATCACATTTAAAGATGAACGAAATAAGCAATTATGAAAAAGGAAAATTAGAGAATATAAATATAAGTATTGAATTCATATTGTTAGATGTCTTTGGTCCTATAACACCTGGCCGTGCTGACAAATTGAATACCGTGCAATACTTAAATAAGGACTAATGGCAATTGATATTGACCTCAGACACAGATTGAAATGATAGGGACCTCACAGATTTGGACACTATCACTTTCTGTGTCTTCTGTCAATATTAATTGCCATGAGTCCTTATAACCACATATTAACCGTTCACTGAAGTCCATAATTGTATAATATATAACATACAGTCAGTGAGTTTAACTACTATTTTCTATAGATTTATCTCTTTTTTTCTAGGCTCTAAGGTTTCTTGGAGATGCATGTGACTGTGAGCACATTGTGGATGTGGGAGCAGGTCAAGGTCATTTGTCAAGATATTTGACCTTCCAGCATGGGTTCAAGGTCACAACAGTAGAGGCTGAAGGATGCCATGCTCCCAAAGCACAAAAATTTGACAGGTGAGTGACAAATGTTAATATAGCCTCTTTAATTCTGATGCAGGTATTCCTGAGCCATTTGATAGGCTGAGTAAATTGAGCATCCAGATTTCTTAAAGCACTTCTCTGAAACTCTGAACTAATGAGGTTGACAATGCTTCACCTGTCTTGATTTATATTTTTTTCAGTTTTCTGTTTTATGTTGGTTGGAGTTTTTGTAAAGTTCAGTTTTACTTATGAATAATTATAAAGTAATTATCATTTGTTTTTTTCACTAGAGATGCTCAAAGACAGATCTCAAAGGTAAGCACTTTCTTTTTATTTCTAATTTCAAAAGTTTCATTCTAATTTCAAAAGTTTCATACATCCAACTTGCCTTACTACAATATCTTTACTCAAAATTGGGACTTTCAGATTAACACCTACATGTAGCTTTAGATGAAACCACCTAAAGCATGCTATTATATTTCTTTGTATTAGATTCAGTGAAATTTATTAAACTTTTAAAATGTTGGTTTATTATTTTCCATTATTTGTAACTATTAAACTTGGTTATAAGCGGAACAAAGGTCACATTTATCTATTAAACCTTGTATATCATATAATTTAAATTGGTTATGCAGGGTAAAGGTCACACTGAGACTGAAAGTGAGGCTGATCTGCCATGTCATGTGACCTGTTACATCACAGCAGACACAACCCAGGGCAAGTTCCCAGACATTATACAGGAGTCATTCAACAGGTCTAATGTTGGAAGCCATTGTAAAGCAGAAAATGAACCCAGGCTTACAAGAGAGACTACACAACACGGACTTACCAGTGTTCCAAAAATAGACATGATGTCATCTGTATCATTAGATGACAATAAAAACTGTGGTGGAGAACCTAACAAAAGGCTAAAGTTGACAAGCACTGATATTGAAAGTGATAATCAAGATAAAGATTTTTAACTTTTCCTGAAAGTGTTCAAAGTAATAGAAATTCTGATGGGCATATTCCAAGCAATAGTCCCCCGAGTTTTTCCAATAATTTCTGTGATAACTGTGAAAAATACTCATGTTCCAAGGAATCCACCTCCTGTGATTCTAGTCAAATCAAAGACGATTCCTTGATTGGAGAGCAGACTTCACTTATTAGTGGAGGGGATGTTTATAAATCTTATAATTGTGCTGTAGATCAAGGCATGCCAGGATCTGATATTGTGGTGAAGTAAACCGATGAAGGCTATTCTTTAAATCGAGAATTCTGTGTGGAGACCCCTTCAGCCAAACAGGATTTCCTTCTGACAGGACTCCACGCTTGTGGAGATCTAACTCCCACAATGCTTAGAGTGTTCACTTCCTGTCCTGATGTAGTAGGACAAGCATCTGTCGGCTGCTGTTATATGAAGTTGCCTATCTCTCTGTAAGTAAAGCTGGTAAAGATTACATTCCTATACTTCTTTAAATGTTATTGTTTTGTTCAAATTTGAGTTTTATCACTTTACTTGTACAATGTATGTGTTTGGATGTTTTTTTATATGAGAAATACACTGAATGATGTGGAGCCTATATAAATTTTTATAATTTTAGAATTAGTGGAAATTTATGAAGTTAACAGATTAAATACCCTGTTAAATGCACAACTGAATAATGTTCACAGTAAATAATTACAAGAATGTTTTCTAAAAAAATATATTTACTTTGTTTAAATGTGTATGAAGTCATTTGAATTGATTTTTTCTGACTTTGCTATTTTCTGCTTTTAGTAGCAATAAATCTGACCCTGTAGGGTACCCCATGAGTGATTTTGTTGCCAGATTACCACACTTGGTCCTTAGTTATGAAGCCAGAGAGATGGCCTGTCATTTTGCAGATTCCTACATCCAAAGATTGAAAGGTAATTCACAATTAGATTACATTGTATCAAGGCATTAGTCAATGATTTAAAGCCATCACAACTATTTTTGAGTAATTTTTCACAGATTGGTTGGATGGCCATCATGCTTTGATAGTTTACTGTAAATAATTGGTTAATTCTGTAGTTTCTTCCCCAATTTTGCCTAACTTGTCAATTCAGGTTTTATTTTTCCCAATGTTCTCTTAGAAAGTAATGATCATGATGATAGTCAAAGAGAAATATCAATAGTTTTAATGAGTATTATTCATCCCCCGGCTCATTTCAGTGTTGTTTTATTATTCCTTTAGATAACCCACCCTCTCTCAAGCTACACTGTTACAGAGCTGCCTTACAGTGGATAATTCATTTAAAACCTGATTTTGTTACCGGGGCACAGAAATTGTCCATCAGAAAAGCTGAAAAACTTACATTTAAACAGTAAGCCTGTACCAATCAGAATATCTGTATTGTTAATCTTTTTCTCAAAAACCACTTGGCCAGAAAAGCTGAAACTGATATGGAAGGATCCTGGAATAATGTAGATTCTAAATTGTCCAAATCATGATTACATTGAGATATATATGGAAAAATCTTAAGAACCATTGGGCCATAAAAGCTAAAACTTATGTGAAAGTACCTTGGGGTTGTGTTTATTCTAAATTGTCCAAATCATGACCCCTGAGGGTAGGGCGGAACCACAGTTAGTATTACAAGGGGGGGGGGGGTTCTGTTAAAGAACAGCATGGCCAAAGTTTCTCAAGTGAGGGATGTGGCCCATGTGCCTCTTATTTTTATATAACATTTCAGGGAGGCAATCTATTGTATTCATAATATCATAACTCAGAAAGTGTGTTAAAATGTTAAAGCATACATTTTATTTTGATGTCACAATTGTTGAAAGCAGAGAAAATACAATATCCTTAGTGAAAATCCTGGACGTTGAGTCAATTAAGGCAGAGAGTTTAAAAATGCATATATAACCAATGAATCCAGAGTGGAGTAGACCAAGAATCCTTGGCTAGCCAAGGTGATAGATTTACTTTGGTTCCTCGTGAATAGATTCTACAGAAACGTGTTGGAGGTTATTTTACAGGGTAATTAATTTGCCATATTTCTGTATTTTAATAATAGTCTGCTAAAATTTTAAATACTAAAATATTCAGTTCTAGCTCTTCTTTGTGTTCATTGTAAAAAAAAATTGTAACCCTGTATCCACTAAAAGAAATAATACCAAAATTATTGGCAAACCTTTCAGAAGGCAAAAGCCAAATTTTACACCCACCAAAAAACACGCTATACAGTATTTGGTTACAATTAATCAGTAAATTATTGCCAACTGTTAATTCAGAATAAAGTGTAGCATAACATTATAAGTAAAACATGAATTGTACCTTCCCATTCCTAGAATTTATTACAGTTTTAATTAATCAGACATTAAACAAATTTCTGTGTTTGACTTCCAGGTATGTCATCTCTACTGTTAACAGTTTCACCGAGAAACTTTGTTTTGTTAGCAAAAAAGTGACATCGGATAAAGATATGACTTATCTCCAAGAAAAAGGCTTATTACAAAGTGGCAGGGCAAACATTTTCTGTTTATTATAAGAATTTATTATATCAAGTTCCAGATTTTAAAATAAATCAATGTGAAGGAAAATTTGCTAGAATTTTGTTCTGTTTTAAGCATGTTTATTTTTTTTAACAGTATTTTTACTGTGTCTTAATTCTATTAAAAAACAAGACATTGTTGTTTGTGTGACATTATTCATAATGAAATACATGAAATATTAAATTCTTTCTCATGAAATAGCAGTATGTTTTATTTAATAGTAAGATAGTTATGTAACGTGTCGAGCGGAATAATATAATAGCAATCGGGGTCGTACCTTGTTGATTCAATATTCTAATATAATATAATTTTTCTTAATAAATGATTGACAAATGATTGTAAAACAAAGGCCTGCAAAATATACAAACAAATGGCCAACCTTGTCTAGGTTAATAATCACGTTAACAATATTCAAATGTGAATCAAATAATTACAGATGATTGTGATGCAGTGGGTAGGCTATCCCTAACACTGGCCAACCTCGGACTGACGCTTGTACTGCAGCCTTATTCAGGACACAGTCAGTACAAGTGACAGCCCTTCAACTGCTGTGCACACTGCTAGCCTTATTCAGGCAGACACACTGCACACAACAGCCTGGTTGCCGGACAGGTCGACAAGCTTTATCACAAGTGTGGTGGCTAACCTCCGTTCCTGGTTAGCCTCTGAGTGGCTTGCCACTCGAAAACACAACAGCCTTTATTTATTAATAATCTTTGTAGACTAGACCTTACTTCTTTCAGGTCGACCTCTTAAGTAAGCTGACTTTATTTCTTGCAAGTCTCACTTACCACTGTTATGTTCGCACACAATGTTTGTCACACAGCTGGAACTCGAATGAACGCTTGATACTGCGATTCAGCCTTTATATACATTTTAAAGCGGAAGTTTACACCCGCAAACTAATAACTGAATCTGTATGATAACAATATAAATTTCCGGAATATTACACTACCCACGCCTCCGATGACATGCGTCCCGCATGCAAACTCAAAAGATCAACACATTTTTTTTATTATTATTATTTATTCATTTATCTTGTGGTTTTTTTTTAAACAACAAAACTGTATTTATCATGTTTATATGGCTGACCAAAATAGTCAACAAAACAAGAGCAGCAATAAAAGTAACAACCACTGAATAACACTACCTGTGTTAAATGTACCGGTAAGTTTCAATTTAATTACTTGAAAATGTCACTTGTAAATGAATCTTTCCTTTGTAACGACCTTGATATCTGCCTCTCCTTCACGATACTTCTTTGTCGTTTCGGTCACAACTTCTCTCTTCTTTGGGGATGTCTGTGTGTAAGCGTCAACTCTGTTACTTTCTACGGGTGTTACTCCTGGTATGTCAACCTGGATTGAAAAATCCATACAAGTGGTCTTCTTTGGAACAGGGATCCCCTCCAAACTTGGTCGTTTTCTAGTGAATGGCAAAGTTGGCTGAGTCTTCTTACGGAAAACTCTTCCTTCTAACAAATTGCCTTCTATCTTCTCTGGATCCCCTTTCTCTTTCTGCTCATCAATATCATCTTCTTCATCACTTGAGTTACTACTCGATGAGTTGGCAGAGGAAATCTCGCCTATAACTTCACCAGGGTCCTGGTCCAACCAATCTTCGTTTGCGCCTTCATCATCTTTGTTTTCGTCACCAAACGAGCAACCTGCCTTCTCCGGATCCTTATTTTGTTCTTTTGGGCCCAGTTTAATGGGTTCATCATTTGGTCCCAATCCAGGGTGACATCTTTTGACGTGTCTTTTGAGGTTAAGTTCCCTACTGTTTGTGAAATCACATATGGGACATTCAAAAAGCCTCATGGCACAAATCATAATGTGCCTCTTAAATTCGTCCTCTGTCCGTGCAGGCTCCGAACACATTGGACACCGCCGATATTCTTTTCTTGTGGTCGTCTTAGTCTTTGCCATCACTACAAAAATATACAAACATAAAAACTATATAAGCTTCCTAATAATTTCTTTTTACATGCATACTACAGAGATATTTAAAAATCTGTCTCATAATCTTGCAACCAACTGGGAGGTTTACGATGTCTGCTAGGGCGATGGGATACTGGGAGTTCATCATTAACGCTTTCTTCAACATCATCACTCATAGGACCAGTGTCCTCAAGAGTTTCACACGTTGACAACGGCTCGTCGTTGTCCCCTGATAAAGTCTGCGCATGCTTTTTCCGCATTCTGTCAACATGAATGACCTGATCTGATCCTCTTGGACCACAATTGACCAGATATGTTAGGTCAGACATTTGTTTTACTACCTTAAATGGACCTCGCCAATAACTTGTGAACTTGGGTGAAGTACCTGGTTTTCTTCTTGGGAAGAAAACATAAACCTCTTCACCCGCTTCGAAATTATGCCATTTCAATTTTCGGTCATGGTAATGTTTTTGCCTGACCATTGCTTGATTCATCCTTGTTCGCACAAATTTATGAGCGTTTTCCAGGCGTTCTTGTAAATACCATGCCCATTTATTGCTTGGCACCTCTTTTATTGATGGAGGCATCTCGTACATCAAATCCAGTGGTGTCGACACCTCTCGCCCAAACATCATCATATTTGGTGTCATCCCTGTTGTCTCATGCACCGAGCTTCGATATGCCATCATCACAAAAGGAAGATGGACATCCCAATCAGTGTGGTGCTCATTGACAAAACCACTAAGCATTGTTGTTAACGTTCTGTTGAACCGCTCCACCATTCCGTCCGACTGTGGGTGGTACGGAGTGGTGTGGGTTTTCTGGATGTCCAACAGTCTGCACATTTCCTTAAAAAGGTTGCTTTCATACTGCGGACCCTGATCAGAATGTATGGTGGCTGGTACTCCAAATCGGGAAACGACTTCTTCAACAATCTTTGTTGCGACGGTTTCTGCCTCCATGTTTGGCAATGCAAATGCTTCCGTCCACTTTGTAAAGTAGTCTGCCACAACAAGGATATACTTATTCCCATTTGATGTCATTGGCAGTTCACCTAACAGATCAGTCGCTAGTCTTTCCATTGGATACCCTGTGAAGACTAAATGCATTGGAGCTTTGTTGTTTTGTCTAGGTGCTTTTCTCTTGGTGCACACTTCACAGCCGCGAACATAAGAATGAACATCCCTTTGGAGGCCTGGCCAATAGTAAGATTGACGGATTCTCGCAAGTGTCTTGTGGATACCAAGATGGCCCGCTGTCCTCGAGTCATGGTAATGTTTCAAAACATTCCATCGCTCCTGCTTCGGGACAATGGCTTGCAAAGTATCCTGCTTTGTAACGAGATCTGACCACCTTCTATACAACATTCCATTGTCAATGACCAGTCGGTCCCACTGAGAGCAAAGGGATTTAACAACAACAGATTCGGACGCAATCTCATCATTCTTCGGTTGCTTTCTCCTTTCAAGCCAATCTTTTACCTTTTTGATATCCTTATCTTCATCCTGAAGACATTTCAAAGGCTTTTCTAAAATCAACTTGTCTTCGACGTCAAGTTTGCTTACGGTTTGGTGAGTCAATTCATTATGGCTGACTTTACACTGCTTGCATGGCACTCGACTCAGACCATCCGCATTGCCATGTAGTCTACCTGGCCGATGTTCTATTGTGAAGTCATATGTGGATAACACATCCATCCACCTAGCAAGCTGCCCTTCGGGGTCCTTAAAGTTCATCAACCATCTAAGGGCGCTATGGTCTGTCCTTACCGTAAATTGTCTGCCGTATAGGTAATGTCTAAAATACTTGATGAAGTGTACAACAGCCAGAAGCTCTTTCCGGGTAACACAATACTTTCTTTCGGATTTAGAAAGACTTCTGCTGGCAAAGGCAATTGGTCGTTCAACACCATCTTTTATCTGTGACAATACTGCACCAATTGCATATTGACTGGCATCAGTATCTAGGATGAATCTCTCATTAAAATCTGGATGAGCCAAGACAGGAGTTGTTGATAGCTGTTTTCAAAGATTGTCAAATGATACCTGGCATTCATCAGACCATTTGAAATTAATAGCCTTCTTTGTCAGATCATGCAATGGCTTGGCAATATTGGCAAAGTTTTTGACAAATCGCCTATAATAACTGCAGAATCCTAAAAATGATCTTAACTCTGATACATTTGAGGGTACCTGCCATGTCTGAACGACCTTAATTTTATCAGGATGTGTAGCAATCCCCTTTTCAGATACGACGTGTCCCAAATATTCTGCTGCTGTTGAAAATAGAGTGCATTTGCGAGGTTTGAGCTTTAGTCCTGCAGCTAACAATCGATCAAACACTTGTGTGAGATTTGAAATCATGTCTCCTACCGTTTTTCCAACAACAATGATGTCGTCCAGGTATACAAGGCATATCTGCCATTGCAGACCTCTTAGCACAAGCTCCATGAGACGCTCAAACGTCGCAGGGGCGTTACAAAGCCCAAAGGGCATAACTTTAAAACTATAAAGCCCTTTTCTGGTTGCAAATGCAGTCTTGGGTCGATCTTTTTCTGCAACTTCCACTTGCCAATACCCGGCATTTAAGTCTAATGTGGAATAATACTTGGCACCCGATAACTGACCCAGGGAGTCATCTATCCTAGGAAGAGGATAAGCGTCTTTGACAGTTGCGTTGTTTAGCTTCCTATAGTCAATGCAGAACCTAGTCGTTCCATCCTTTTTCTTAACCAATACAACTGGAGACGACCAGGGACTGGTGCACTCTTCTATGATTCCTCTTTCTAGCATGTCGTCAACATGGCGGTCTGCCTCTTCCTGCATATGTACTGGCAATCGTCTTGGATGCTGCTTAATGGGAGTATTCGTACCAGTATCGATAGTATGTTCCGTCATCTTGGTTTGTCCAAGATCAGCATCAGTCGCAGCAAATAAACTCGAATACTTTCTTAACAGCCCTCTTACTGCCTTGGCGTCCTCTGTGGTCAATTCCTTGACTGACCGCTGGTACAAGTCCTGTAGATGAGAAGGCAGCTCTCCTACCTTGTTAATCTGACTGCTCTTTTCATACACATTGTCGACAGCCGACAGAGTGGCAACAAAAGTCCCTCTATACAAATTCTTTGTT